CTTCAGAAATCCTTAATTGTGTTTTAAGTTGTGGATTTATTCATATAAGGTTGGAATACTGACCTATATTCAATGATAGGATGATTACTTTATTATATATTTGAAACTGCCTAACACAAATATATGGGCCCTAAATGACAATATAAATAAATACAATTAATACTCTGTGCTGTAATTCCAAGTTGTAAGAAAATACTAATTACTCACCTGATTTGGGGAGGGAAAGTTGTTTGTTATTTAACAATTGTTTTTGAAGATTGGGTCTAATCCTATAAAATGCTCAGTACCGTTATGCCTACTGAGTATCTTGCAGGATCAGGGTGTTAGATGGGATTGATTCACAAGTACCTATATAAGTACATTTATGAGGCACTAAACACTATAACAAATTATTTTTATTGTGAGTGTAGAAAATACATTCTTGTGAATATTTTCATGTATGTACAGACTGAACAACATCATTATACTCTGGCAATTAGTAATGCCTTATGTTGTGGGGCAACTGCCCCACACTGACCAGAAGGGATTAATGCCAGCTGGAGGGAGCCTGTGTAGAGCCAGGGCCAATCAGGGGGAAACTTGTAAAGGACCAAACAGGGTGTAGCTTGCTGGGGCAGCCCTGTATAAAAGGAGCTGCCTAGCAAAGCAAGACAGTTAGGCCCTGACCAAGGAAGGTGTAGGACAGTGGTCCCCAACGGGGTGCCCGTGGGTGCCATGGCGCCCGCTGGAGCATTTATGTGCACCTGCTTAGCGCCGCCCCTGGGCACCCGGCATATGCGCGGCCTCCACCCCGGGCGTGCGGTGCATGCGTGGCCCTGCCCCCGGGCGGCCCGGCAGCCCCGTGCGGCGCCCGCCACCCAAAAAGGTTGGGGACCACTGCCTTAGTCTAATTCAGTGTTGCCCAATTTTATTTGACCATGGAACCCTTTTAAACTCGAAAGAATTTTGTGGAACCCCCTAATAACAGTCTAATATTTGGAGCTGAAAAAGTAGACCACAAATAAGTAAGGATGATAATAAACAAATGCTAAACAAGGTTATGAGATCAACATTTAGTTTAACTGCATATATTTAAAAACAAAAATCACATAATAGTAATTATTATTTTATTTAATCATAAAATGTTACCATAATGGAATTTTCTTATGGAAGCCTTATTTTCACTTCACTGAACCCCATTTGGGAAACAATGGTCTAATTAATTTTGTCATGTTCACCTTCAATACACTACTTTTAAGCTATGTATGAGCAAAAGAGTAAAACAAACATACTACTGTATTCTCAACCCCAAGAAATCAAAACTGTCTTTAAAAATCATTGTTGCAGAAAAATGACTCATTCTAATATTAAAGCAGATAGCATTCTACAACTGTATACCTACCCATACATCTAATTAAAGTATAAATACAATCACATAGTTATCAAATGATCTGAACCAACAACTACTAAAGTCAATGCTAAAACTCACGACTTCAGTAGGGGCAGGATAAAAAGACCCAGATTTACCCATCATTTATTTTTAAATTAATAAAATATTAAAATAGATAATTCTGGAGTCATGCTTCTAAATTGCTCTGATTGCTTCTGAAAAAAATCACAATGAAAGCTTCTCAGGATTCAGTCACATACCTTCTTAAGAAATCTTCTCCCAAAGAAAAGGCTTACTCCTCTCAGACAAAAATGCTGATTTTAACTTCTATGCAAATTTTACTTAAGGACCACAAAACTGCGAATTCTAAAAATATTCTGAGGCATTCTCACCACTAGATTCTTAGAATAGTAATTTTCTCTTTTCAAAGTTCTAGTATGCTTGTAACACACATCAAAACTCATATTCCAAAGAGCTACAAATGATTTTAAAGTGTGCTATCAGATGTTTTCAGGATTAAATACTGATTTAGTCTGAAGTTTTTAGTGCCAGGGTGTATGCAGACTTGCTGAAATGCTTCAATTATTATTCTCATTTCCTTTCCTCTTGCCTTTTACTAAAGTCAAAGCAGCTACGGAGAGAAGGACTTTACCACATTATAAGATCCAACAGAGTTTGAAGACAATTCTGAAGACTCAAGTTACTCACACAATGCTGGGCAGCGTAGATCAAGACGAATCACATTCACTGTGATACCTACTAAAGAAATTAGACCCTGTTGTGACCAACATTCAGGCATAAGCAGGAGTGAAAGTAACTTAAACTTCTTATGTCACAACTTGCCCGCTGCCCTTCCCTCCTCCCTCCCCCCAGCTTTGGAGATGCCTTAGGGCGTGGGGTGTGTGTTTGAGATGCAACAATACCTGTAAGAAATTTAAGTAGGGGGTGGAGTGTAGAAGTTAGGATAGAGGGCTGGGAATGTGGATGGTCCAGGAGTCAGGTTTGGAAGGTATGAGGAGGGGCTCAGGGCACAGAGTTGGCGTGTGGGGAGTCAGGGCAGGGTGCTGAGAGTGTATGGGTGCTTAGTGCAGGGGGTAGTGCAGGATTCAGGACAGGAAGCTCAGGGCAGGGTGCTAGGGAGAGTAGGAATAAGTGTGGGGGGCAAGGGTGCCATTTTGGGGGATGGGGAGCTACAGTGCAATATACTAGGTAGAGATGTTAAAATGTGTGTAATTGGCTAACCACGGAACGGCTGAAAATTTCAGCAGTTACACAGTTACACACACCTGCAGAGCAAGGTGGCAGCCAGCTCCCTGGGAGCCAGTGTGTACCAGGAGCTAGCTTAAAAATTGGCTTCCAGCATGTATTAGAGGCAGCTGCATAGGGTGGCAGCTGACTCCCAGGGAACCAGACTGGGAGCTGTGTATAATTGTTTGAGTTACCCCTTTAAACAGCTAGGCTGTCTAGACTGGCAAGTTTTTCTGCAAAATCAGCTGCTTTTGCAGAAAAACTTGCCAGCTGTCTACACTGGCTGCTTGAATTTCCGCAAGAACACTGACTTCCTACTGTCTGAAATCAGTGCTTCTTGCGGAAATACTGTGCTGCTCCCGTTTGGGCAAAAGTCCCTTTTGCGCAAAAGGGCCAGTGTAGACAGATCAGATTTGTTTTGTGCAAAAAAGCCCCGATCGCGAAAAAGTGCTTTTGCGGAAAAGCATCCGTGCCAATCTAGACGCTCTTTTCCGCAAACGCTTTTAACGGAAAACTTTTCCATTAAAAGCATTTGCGGAAAATCATGCCAGTCTAGACGTAGCCTTACACTCCTACATCTCTAATACTGAGTCCCTGTTGCTTTCCCCACATCCTATTTCCTCTGATCAGGATGTAAGAGAAAGTGCACAGCCTGCTGCATTCCTCTCACTCCTGGCTGCTCATGGGAGGGGTAGCATAGGAACACAGCAGGCTCTGTATTTTCCCCTCACCCCCTAGTCAGAGGAAGCAGAAAAAGCAACAGGGACCCGGTATGTGCAGCTGCAGTCTCCATATTCCTCCCCCAAAATAGTGGCAGGGGGTGGGGAGCTTAGATCTGGGGAAGTCTAACCTGCCTGGCTCCCTGTTGCTGAGCATGGTAGGCTGAAAGTGCCCCATCCCTCCCACTGAAGCCAAGTGCCCCAGACAGACAGCCGGCTTCTTACCAAAACACCACATCGGGGCGCTCCAGCTTATTTTCACACCTGGTGACAAGTTTATGTTTACACTTGCAAACTTCAAGCAGCAGCACTGTTGTACAGATTAGGGATGTAATAGTGTAGTCAATTAACCGATAAGCAAAAGTAAATTTTTAAGCAGGCTGGCCAGCAACCTGGCTCAGTCTTGGCTTGCGACTGGTCCAGGACCTACCCCTGCTGCGGTTCTGCATTTAAAGTGTATTAGGAGCTAGGCTGGCAGGCAGCCTGGCTTATGGCAGGTCCGGGAGCACAGATACACCCCTCTGAACAGGGGCTGCTGCCTCTGTATCAGAGACAGCAGCATGGGGTCAGAGGAAGCCGGTCCGCGAGGGGAGCTCCCACCTGGCACCCCACACTGCTGCCTCTGATACAGATGCAGCAGCAAAAAGTGGCAGGGGGCTCCTTGGAAGTGGAGCCAGTGTGCACTGGCTGTAGGCCTCACCCCTGGGTACTAAAGAGTAGTTGACTAACCACTAAGAATTCATGAGGTTACTTGACTATTCAATTAACCAATATTTAACATCCCTAGTACTGATGCAGCTTCACCATTGGAAGGGTATGTCTACACTGCATTCTTCTTTTGAGAGAGGACTGCAAATGCAGCTGAGCGAAATTGCAAATGAAGTGTGGATTTGAATTTCCTGAGCTACATTTGCATAATCGCATCTGGGCACTTTTTCGAAATACCCTATTTCAAAAGAAAAAAATGCAGTCTATAAGGGGTTATTTAAAAAAAAAAACGCTCTTATTTCGAAATAATCCTTAAACCTCATTTTTTAAAGGAGTAAGGGTTATTTCGAAAGAAGGTTTTTTTGGTCAAAATAACCCCATCTAGACTGCATTCTTTCTTTCAAAATAGGGTATTTCAAAAAAGTGCCCAGATGCAATTATGCAAATGAAACACAGGAAATTCAAATCCACACTTCATTTGTAATTTCGCTCAGCTGCATTTGCATTTCTCTCTCAAAAGAGGAATGCAGTGTAGACATACCCGAAGGGAACTCATGTAGCTGTGTATATGACGGGAAAAAGCTCTCCTGTCGACATAATAAAACCACCTCCATGAGTGGCGGTTAACTATGTCAGCAGGAGAAACTCTCACACTAGCACAGTGCTATCTACACTGGCACTTCTATTTGTGAAACTCATGTTGCTCAGGGATGTGTTTTTACACATCCCAGAGTGACGTAAGTTATACCTGCAAAAATGGTAGTATAGACATGGTCATACTGTACACAGCTTACAAGACAATGAACACAGTTTGCTCTGATTTACAGACTGTTAAGTTGTGGTCAGCAAACAAATTCATTTAGAAGGGAATGTCAGAATACACAAAAGGAAACTTTGCTACAACTAAATTCACTAAAAATACCTTCTACTGAATATACTGAGTGAGAGCCTTATACCTGAAATGGGATGAAGCAGGATAACCAGTAAATGCCCAGGTTCTATCCAGGAGACGATCCCTCCAGAATAAGCATTGTGGAGACAGGTGTAAGGACACCATTCAAGGACCTCCTCCTAAGAGCATAGAGGGGATGGATCAAGAGGACATGCTTGAGTCAAAGTCTGTGCTGTGTCATAATACATAGGGCAGCCTCTACGGGCTGCCATAACAAGTTTTCAAGGCTAATTTATAAAATGGGCAGTCTCTGGTACAGCCCAGAATTAGATGTGTGCAAAGATGGCTTAACATCTTATCCCTTATCTCCCTGAGTTGCAAGCTCTGTCCTACTCCTCTTAGAAGCAAAAGCAAAGCATCTCAACATTTTTTTTTTACTATTACACTGTCAGGAACAGTTCCTGTGCCTTGATCTGATCAATATGTAATACTAGAAGATTTACCAAGCATTGTTCAGGTCTTTCAGAGCTGAGGGCTGCTGATATGAGGGGTGCAAGAGTGAAGGCAGAGGTTTGAGGATGTGGGGAACTTAGGGCAGGGGCTGGAAGTGTGGAGGATGTAGGGGTTAGGTGTAGGGGTTGAGAAAGAGCTCAGAGTAGGGAGTGGGGTGTGTGTGCAGGAGTCAAAGTAGGGGGTGAGGAGTAGGGATGTGAATTAACCAAATTAAGCAGGATCCCGCTCCTGTCCCCACCCTGTGTTGAACTGCCACTACTGCCCCCATGGAAGAGGGAGGTGAGTGGAAGCAGGATACCGCTTAATTGGTTAAACCAAAGATTTAACTGGTTAATAGATTAACCAAGATTTTATATCCCGAATGAAGAGAGGGTAAAAGCAGGAGGTAGGAGTGCTGAAGTTAGAGCAGGTGATGGGGGAGACTCAGGAAAGCGAGTGAGGTAGCTGCTGGCTTTTCCGTGGGGCCAGCCTGTAGGGGGAAAGTCCTGGTAAAAGTTCCGGTAATCAACAATACGGGCATGCCATTTTGGAAAAGTCCAAACAACATGGATTCCATCTTGGCCGCCCTTCTCCTTCCTCCCCTGAGAGCGTTTTCCCCGCTTATCACGGGGTCGCTGTTGCGCCCCCTGTGACGGCGCGTTGGGGTCCCCCGTCTCCTGCACCCCGAAATGGCACAAACAGACTGCACCAGCCGGTGGAATAGAGGAAGTTTATTGCCTCTCCAGGATACAGCACAGCACAGATGTAGTCTGGTCACAGAGCTGGGCTAGGATGCCTCAGGCCCCCTTGAGTTGGGGGGAGACTGGGCCCCTAAACTCCAGCTCCTCTCCCTAGGCTGTCTCCTCCATCCTCACAGACAGCCAGCAACCAACTAACTTCCCGCCCCGCCCCCCAGCCAGGGCAGCATTCCACCTTCCTTTGTTCCTCTCCATGGGGGGTGTCTGGCCACTGGTTCAACAAGTTTGGCATTACCTCTGCCTAGTGAGGTTTTCCCTGCTGGGTCTTGCTCCAGACAGCAGGGGTCACCACAGCCCAGCAAGTACCCCCACTACGTCACACCTCCCCCTTTGCGATAGTTACTGCCGCACAGCGGGGTGAGGGGTCCGTGCCCACCCTCTCTCCGGACCCCGACCCAGGACCCTAACGTCAGGAGGGAGTCTCCTGACGGTAACAGGCGGGGGTTCTGCCCCCAAACACGCCCGTTCCCGGGTTCCACGGTCCGCCCTGGGTCTGATTCACCTCGCCGGCCTGCTGTCGGCCTGCCGCCTGTCCGCCTTACCTCTCTCCCTGCTCCTCCCCCCTTTGCTCGCCCCCGGGGGCCTTTGTATCGCGTTCCCCTTCGGCCCCGACGGATGCCCTCACTTCCGGGTATGCCTCCCCAGACGTGTCTTGAGGCCGTGCCTCCGGCCCCGGCTCCTGTCGCCGCCGTGGCGGCGGTTTCCTCACCGCCCGCTGAGGTTTGCTGCCCTACAAAGCGGCGGGGTTGCCTCCCCCCGCCGTACTCCGCTTCCGGCCCCAGCCGTCCTGGAACGGCCGCGGCCGCTTCACCGCCCGCCGTGGTTTGCCGCACTTGAAAGTGGCGGGGTTGCTTCACCCCGTCACACCGCTGTTAGCACTTTCCCACTCTTTTGACATTTTGGTGGGAAAGCTAGGCAGACAGGTGATCTAGGTTCTGCCCAGCAACAGCAGCTTATTTAAGGGCTGCCTCTTCAATTCCAAGGGGCTGCCCTTCCGAGTGGCAGAGTTTGGAGCTACTTAGAGATGTACGCCGGCACCATGCAGATAGGTTTCGGTTGTGGCAGGGTGAATTTACCTGCACGCAAGGGGTGCGCTACCAGTTGCCACCCCTTATTACCGAGTAGTAACAGAGATGTAGCCGTGTTAGTCTGGTCTTGCTGTTCATCCAGAAATATAATTTATGCCATCATGTGCCAACAGTGTCCATCTGCTATGTATATTGGCCAAACTTCTCAGACACCTTGCCAAAGAATTAATGCCCACAAATCAGACATCAATTTCACAAAGAAAAAACAGTTTATTGTCATTTCAACCAGACTGGACATTGTCTCAACGACCTCACTACATGTATCTTACTCCAAAGAGACTTTAACACCAGCCTACAAAGGGAAACCTCAGAACTGTCATTCGTGCTTAAATTTGACACTTTACAAATGGGCCTTAAAGATGCTAACTACCTTACCCATTACAAAGATAGTTTCTCCAATTATCACCCCTAATATCATTATCTCATAGATACTAACCTCCCTCCCCCATCACACCCCTCTGTTCTAAAATCCGATTTGTCCATTTTATATGTGTTCACTTTTTTTTTTTTAATTGTATCCCTTTGGTATATATGGTCATGCCAATTTTCTTCCACAAGTTGGGTCTGGCCCACGAAAGCTCATCACCTAATAAACCTTCTTGTTAGTCTTTAAAGTGCTGCATAGTCCTTATTACTGAGGACATACACCCCCCCACAATGGCACAGGACGGAGTGTGGGTTGACCATCACTGGAGCAGAGCTGACAGCCTGATCGCTCTTTACCTGTGATACCATCTGGAAAAGGAATCCTGAGCTGTCCCACTGCCGCAAAGGCCTACAAGCTGCAGGATATGGTAGTGCTTTCACAATCCTCCGTTTCCTTACCTGGGTCCCGTCCTGGGGAAGGGAACTCACCCGAGACGCAGTCAGTGCACCACCTTTGTGTCACTTACCTTTAGGTGTGGGGGTCCTGGTTATAGTTATGTTCTTTACCTTCTGGTTTATCTTGTATTTACTTTATTTGAACTGTTAAATAAATGCCCTGTTTGTTAGGAAATAAAACCAGCCAAATTTGGGTGCTAAGGGGCTGAGACAAACCTCAATGACAGAACAGGTAGGGAGACATTCCTTTAGGCTGGTTCCTTTCTTGGCCAGGCATACCAGTCAACAGGCGTAGGGTGGTGGCCAGGCAGGCCGCCTACTGGCTTTTCTGTGGGGGGAGAGGGCATACGGTCTACTTACTGTCTTCTCCCTGGGCCCAGCCTGGGGTGGGTGCTGTGCAGTTTGCCTGAGCACCCCAGGGCCTGCATGGAGGCCGGGGAGGCTGTGTGGGCTGCCCACTGCTGCTCTCCAGGCCCTGCCTGAGATAGGCAGGGACTGCAAAGGTCACTTGTCAGCTTCTCCTGGGGCCAGTCTGGGGAGGAGGGGCACAGGCCAGGCACTCCCCTGGGCTGGCCCAGGGACGCAAGGGCCACAGAGCCCACTTGCTCGTGCTGGCCTAGAGAGAGGGGGGCTGTGTGGTGGCTAGCAGCCATTCCCCAAGGCAGGCTGGAGCTGTGCTGCCAGCCAGCAACTGCTCGCTAGGGTGCTTGCTGCCCTCTATGGCCATCAAGGAGTATAACTGTACCCCGTGCTTCCTGCCCGCCTACAGTTATGCGTGAGTACTATAACTGTGCCTGCTATTACACTCCATCATTTTCCATTTGATACAAAGCAATCACATTCCATGCACATCCCATTATCATGGCACAACCAAACCCTGACCTTGCTTTAAGTTACAATAAGAGGAAGCTGCATACCAAATTTCATGGTCCTAGTTCTTTCTATCTAGGAGTTATTGAAAAAAACGGTCTCACAGAAAGGTAGATAGATGGACATTTCTAAAGTATATACAGGCAGTCCCCAGGTTACATGGATCCGACTTACATCGGATCCCTACTTACAAACGGGGTGAGGCAACCCCGCACTAGCTGCTTCCCCCAGTAGACCAGGGAGACGCGGAGCGGCTTTTCTCAGCAGACACCTCAGCTTGAGAATAAAGGACTGAGGGAAGTGAGGTGTGGGAGAATAAAACTGAGCTCTAGAGAAATGTTTGGCTAGAGTTTCCCCTACAATATGTACCAGTTCCGACCTACATACAAATTCAACTTAAGAACAAACCTACAGTCCCTATCTTGTACGTAACCCGGGGACTGCCTGAAGTAAGATCTCAAAAAGAGGCATCTAGACAGTCTTAAAAAGATTCTCAACTTTTGAGTGAATTTCTTATAGAACTGCCTGTTCTTTTCCTAAACCACAGAAACTCTAGATGAGGAAGCGAGTATTTTTCTTTCTTCAAACTTTTCTTAGGACATTTTTCAAAACTTCCTACTAAAATCAGTTACATTTTACTAGTCGTAGCAAAATTGAGAGTCCTAATGTGTAAGGACTGCCAGCTGCTTTCAACAGTGTAAGTTCTGTGTCAATTAGACCTACAATCATTCTCTGGTGTAGGCCAGGCTCAGGTGTGTTCATCCAACAAATCAAAATTACATTTCCAGTTGGGCAAGTCTTTCATATGCTTGCTAATAAACTAGTTAAAACTCTTGGCTATTTGCTTTGAAATACATGATCCATACACATGGTATTTGTATTAATATTATTAGCTATGTAATTTCAATTACTTCTGATAGAAATTATGTGCATTACAGTAATGCCCAGAGGCCTCAGTCAGGATCAGGGCCACCTTGTGCTAGGATGTGTACAAGCATAAGAACATAAGAACAGCCATACTGGGTCAGACCAAAGGTCTATTTAGCACAGTATTCTGTCTGTCGACAGTTGCCCCAGAGGGATGGAACACAACAGGTAATCATCACGTGACCCCTCTCCTGTCATCTATTTCCAGACAAACAAAGGCTAGGAACACTATTGATAGCCATTGATGGACTTAACCTCCATGAATTTATCTTTCTTTTTTTTTAATCCTGTTAAAAGTCCTGGTCTTCACAACATCCTCTGGAAAGGAGTTCCACAGGTTGACTATGCACTGTGTGAAGAAAAACTTCCTTTTGTTTGTTTTAAACCTGCTGCCTATTAATTTCATTTTGTGACCTCTAGCTCTTACATTGTGGAAATAAGTAAATAACTTTTCCCTATTCACTTTTTCCATACCAGTCATGATTTTATAGACCTCTATCATATCCCTCTTTAGTCTCCTCTTTTTTAAGCTGAAAAGTCCAAGTCTTTTTAATCTCTTCATATGGGACTCATTCCAAACCCCTAATAATTTTTGTTTCCCTTTTCTGAATCTTTTCCAATGCCAATACATCTTTTTGTGATGGGACAACCATATCTGTATACAGTAGGGATGTTTAATTTAAATTAATCAGCTAATTAAATAGTCTATGCAATCTGCGTCGACTATTCGATTAGTTGATAAGGGCCCCTCCGTCTTTGAAGTGTAGCCCTTGGGCTGTTGCTATACTTCAAAGATTAAAGCACTGCAGGGAGTACAGGGCCAGTGGGGGACTCAAACAGTCCCCCGCTGGCTCTGTGCTCCCCACGGAGTTTCAAAACAGCAGCGCCACATTGAGCCCGTGGTCAGCGAGGGAGTCCCAAGCTGGCCCCAGGCATTTCAAAACGGCAGTGCCACATGTAGCCCGGGGTCTGCCCTGTGCTCCACGCAGCACTGCCACTTTGAAGCACTTCCTTCTATCCCCCTCCTTGATGCCTCTTTCTGATAGAGGTAGTAAGGAGGGGGAAGTGACTAGTGTGTCAACCATCTGATAAGCATTTGCTTATCGGATAGTCGACTAATCGTTTGCATCCCTAATATGTAGTATTCAAGATGTGGAGTACCATGGTTTTTTAGAGGCATTAAGGTATTCTCCGTCTTATTCTCTATCTCCTTTAAAATTATTCCTAACATTGTATTTGCTTTTTTGACTGCCACTGCACACTGAGTGGATGTTTTCAGAGAACTACCCACAATGATTCCGAGATCTCCCTTGAGTGGTTATATCTAAATTAGTCCCCATCATATTATATGTACTGTTAGGATTATTTTTTCCAATGTGTATTACTTTACATTTATCAACCTTAAATTTCATTTACCAATTTGTTGCCCAATCACTTAGTTTGGCGAGATCTTTTTGAAGCTCTTCACAGTCTGCTTTGACCTTAACTATCTTGAGCAGTTCGGTATCATCTGCAAATATTGTCACCTCACTGTTTACCCCTTTCTCTAGATCATTTATAAATAAGTTGAATAGGACTTATCCCAGGACAACCCCTTGGCAGACCCCACTAGTTACCTCCCTCCATTCGGAACACTTACCATTTATTCCTACCCTTTGTTTCCTGTCTTTTAGTCACATATCAATCCGTTAAAGGACGTTCCCTCTTATCCCATGACAACTTACTTTACTTAAGAGCTTTTGGTGAGGGACCTTGTCAAAGGCTTTCTGGAAATCTAAGTATACTATATCCACTGGATCCCCCTTGTCCACATGTTTGCTGACCCCCTCAAAGACCTCTAGTAGATTTCAGGTGATAGCCGAGTTAGTCTGTACAGGATAAACCTAAAAAACAACAAAAGGTCTGGTAGCACTTTATAGACTAACAAAACATGTAGATGGTATCATGATTTTTTTGTGGGCACAGCCCACTTCTTCAAGTGACCGGAGTTATGAGTTTAGGATGTGCAGACCCAAAATAAATAGGGGAGAAGGGAGAGGGAGGAAGGAAAAAGAGAAGGGGGTGGGAAACAAGGAGTAGATGGAATGAAAATATCAAGGGGAAAAACAAGTAGGCAGAGCTGGTGTCTATAAGCACCTGAAGACTGGATAGTTAAAAGGAAGCAGATAAGGATCAAAGGGAACTAACACCAGAATCCACACAGAGAGCTGTTGGCACCTTCACTGAATGTTAGGTTGGTAATGTCCCAGCCATCCATTGTCCCGATTGAGGAGATGATGCTCAGAATGGGAATTGAATTTGTAGATTAATTGTAATTCCAATGCCTCTCTGTGTATGTGACTAGTAGAACTTGTTTGTGACAAGACAGCCACTTGGAGATCTTTTAAAGCGTGATTAGGTGGATTGAAGTGTTCCCCAACAGGTTTCTGTATGTTCCCTTTACAGATATCTGATGTGTCCATTGATTATTTCCCGTAGGGACTGTCCAGTTTGTCCAATATATATAGTAGTGGGGCATTGCTGGCATAGATCAAATTACTGGATGTGAAGTTGAATGATCCCTTGATTTGGTAGCTTATGTTGTTGGCCCCAGTAATGAATTCGCTTGTATAGATATATTGTAGGCAGAGTTGGGACAGCGGCTGATTGCAGGGCTGGGTTCCTGGATGCTTATGATGTGGTTATGTAGCATGCTTACCGGAAAGAATTCGTTTCAGGTTGGGGGGTTGTCTGTAAGCAAGACTAGCCTTTTCCCCCCAAGACGTCTGAGAGTCAAGAATCATTTTCCAAGATGGGTTGCAGATTGTGTATAATGCGTAGGAGGGGTTTGAGCTGTGGACTATATGTAATAACAAGTGGAATTCTGTTATTTTCTCTTTTGGGTCCATCTTGAAGTAGTTCATGTCTGGGTACTTTTTTGGCTCTGTCAATCTGTTTTTTTTTTTTTTAACTTCTCCAGGTGGGTATTTCAGTTTTAGGAATGCTCTATAAAGATCCTGTAGGTGTTTGTCTGTGGGATCAGAGCAAATCTGGTTGTATCTTAGGGCTTGGCTGTATACAACAGATTGAGAAATGTGCCTGGGATGGAAGCTGGAGGCATGAAGGTAAGTGTAGCGGTAGGTGGGTTTCCGGTATAGGGTGGTGGAAGTTTGTCCATTATTCAATTGTACCGTAGTGTCCAGGAAGTGGATTTCTCGTGTAGACTGGTCCAGGCTAATAAGGTTGATGGTAGGGTGGAAGTTGTTGAAATCCTTGTGAAATTCTTCAAGAGTCTCTTTTCCGTGGGTCCATATGATGAAGATGTCATCAATGTAGCATAAGTAAATAGGGATGTTAGGGGGCGACAGCTGAGGAAACGTTGTTCAAGATCAGCCATAAAGATGTTGGCATATTGTGGTGCCCGGGGGTGCCCATGGCTGTGCCGCTGACTTGGAGATACAAATTGTTTTTGAATTGGAAGTAGTTGTGGGTGAGGACAAAGTGACAGAGTCCTGTAATCAGATATGCAGTGCTGTTGTCGGGGATGGTGTTCCTGAGAGCATGTAGATTTGTAAGACATGATTTCCCTTTACAGAAACCATGTTGACTTTCCCCAACAAATTATATTAATCCATGTGTCTGACAATTTCATTCTTTACTATATTTTCAACTAATTTGCCCGGTACTGATGTTAGACTTACTAGCCTGTAATTGCCAGGACCACCTCTAAAGCTCTTTTTAAATATTGGTGTCACATTAGCTATTTTCAAGTCATTAGGTATGAAAACTGATTTAAAGGATAGGTTACAAACTATAGTTAATAGTTCTACAATTTCACATTTGAGTTCTTTCAGAACTCTTGGGTGAATGCCATCTGGTCCCAGTGACTTGTTACTGTTAAGTTTACCAACATGTTCCAAAACCTCCTCTACTGACACCTCAATCTGAGACAATTCCTAAAAAAAATGGCTCAGGTTTAGAAATCTCCCCAATATCTTCAGTCTTCAAGACTGAAGCAAAGAATATACAATACACTTCCTATCAATGATCAGATTAAAAATCTAAGATAAGTGACATACATAAGGAAGAGGAAAATATTTGTCTCATATTATAATACGCTTTTTCATATACTTTTGGTTTAAACAAAAATACCTCATTATGCACATCAATACTTGGTCTTATCCTTCCTTGCAGGCTATGGGGCAGTAACATACAACTGAGATGATCTTTACTCATATTTAAAAAAATAAAAAGTATTCATGAACTGTATATTACATAGGGAGGAAGTACAGTCCTATGGTTCAGGCATAGATGTATGGAGGGATGTAACAGTGTAGCCGGTTAAACAATTAACCAATAAGAGGATGCTATCAGTTAATGCTACCAGCTACACACAATACCCCCTCTCTCCACGGCTCTGTATTTAAAGGAACTTGAGAGCTGGCAGGATGGCACTCTGGCTCAGTCCTGGCTCATGGCAGCTACCCCCACTGTGGCTCTGCATTTAAATCTTTTAAAGGCACAAGCTGGAACTGAGTCAGCATGCCTGCCTGCCAGCTCTCAAGCTCCTTTAAATGCAGAGCTGCTTATCGGTAAATTGTGTAACTGACAAAATTTCTGCCAGCTACACAATTACTGAATTACACACTTCCTAACATCCCTAATGCAGACTTCCTGTGAAATTCTGTTTGCACTTGAAAAACTGCTAATTTGTTTTACAATAATAGTTAGCAAGGGGCTAAACCACTAACATGGATATGACTCAAGCACACAAATTGTCATGCCCTGTGATAAAAACATCTAACAATTTAGTGCAGATACAT